ATCTTTACAAAAACCAGAGAAAGATATATCTACTTAGAGACTTACTCCTGTAGCCCAAAGTCAAGACTAACATATTTGGCCAAAGATCCCGCTTTTCTGTTGTATTTTTTTTTTGTCCCTGCCTCCTCTCCAGTTTGCCAGTTTTTTGAAGTAGGAAACTCCTTGGGAGTCCTCTTAATGACTCAAAAGTTAAATAAATCATTTGTTTCTAATAAACCGCACCATGTCCTGCCACATTTGGTGTCATAACTTCAGCTGGTTGAAACCTCAGAAGACTATCAGCTGATCTCATGGTTGGTGTCCAGCTCAGAACTGCAGCATGCAACACGCATTCGCATGCTGTAAGATACTCACCGGAGACTGTTACTCGGTATTTCTACTCAGAACACGAAAGGAGCAAGACAACTTACATTTAGCCTACTTTACAAGGAGTTAAACAGCATGATATTCCCGGTTTGTTCCCGTGCAAACACACGAATTCTTACAGATTGGTGTCCTGAGACAATTAACAAGCTAGTTACCTTTTAAACCATCTCTGAGTTTAAAATAATTCCTTTTGTGGGAAATTCTGTAGGATTCAATGACTAAACAGTTAGCTGGTTTGTTTCAGAGAACAATGTTATGAAATCGCTTAAAAATATGCCATTTCGCTGCTGTGAGGCCATCAATCACTAGCTGGGCTGAAGGTGTAGTTTTCTCTTCTGTTCTGTAGGTACACGCTTAGGGTTACATGGACAATACCAGTGCCCTCCAGGCTTTCTTGATCTCTAGACTTTTGTTTTCAAGTAAATCCTACGGAGCTCCGCTAAGATAATCTCAGCAAGTCAAGCAGAGCTCATTGCCCCCACTCCCTGTGGAGGGCAGCCTCCAAGGATGGCTGGCAAAGACCAGGCAGAGACCAGGTCTGGGTGGTGGGCACGGTTGGTAACTCCTCTTATTCTCTGCTTTTGTTCAGAATAATATCATAAATGTTTTATATCATAAATGCTTCAAGTTCAGGAACCATACCGTAATTTGTTCTTATGATCACCTGGTTTTTAGGTGAGCCTAAAAAATGTTAATAATTTTTGTTGCATTAGAAAACCCTTGATTAACAAAATGTTTCAACAAGACAACACATGATTTCTCTATCTTAAAAAAAAGACCCTCAATTTAAGAAACAGATAAAGTACAATAATTACATTTGATTTTGAATTTGTCTGAAGCTATCATTGCTTCTGCGGCCTCCTTAACCACTTCACAACTGTCTCACTGGAGCCCTCACATTGGCCCACGTAAAGGAGCTGGAGGCAACCTGTATTTTGAAAATGTACAGTCTGATTTTTCCTTCCTCATTAAGGACAGAAACCAAAGCAGAAACAATTATCACCTGCAAACTAATTCCTTCTCTAGGTATCGTATCAATGAGTTCCTACATGGGTGCAGGTTTTCTCTTTCATAAAATGAGAAAAATGCTGCCAAATCTGCTGGTCTGTGAAAAGGGGTAATTAAGTCACAACTGTAACAGTAAAGACAGCCTTGCAAGCTTGAATAACAGGTGCTATTTCTAGAATTTTTCTACTCAGTTCAGGAAAGGAGAATAGGCTAGATTGTAAAATTAGCATTTTCCCTTTGTAATTAATTTGTGGGTAAAATTTGAAGATGCAAATGAAGTTAAATGAACCGTGGTTTGAAATCTAGCTAATTTGTTTCCTTCACAGAATGTCTCCTTCCTCTCCTCCCTCTGAACAACACACACTCAACACACCTCAACCTTTAATTGGGATTCTTTGAGGTTTATTCATGGATTATCAGTTTATCTATTACTAACTTTGCTGGTGGACTCTCCTCTAGGAAAATGACTTTGAATTCTCAAAAATCCTCAGTTCCAGCTTAGACCTTCTACATTATCGTTGGTTCAGTATTTCTTGCAGGACAGCTCTACTCACATAAAACCACCTCCCACCCCCCAAACCGAACTTGTCTAAAACAAAGTATTATTGAATATCAAGCTCTCTTTCCTTCCTAAGTTCTCTTTTGGAAAGCGGTACCAGATTCCCTCCTTTTCCCAAGGGTCACAAGCATGGATACTTTTTATCTCATTGGTCAGTATGTTCCTTTCTCATGAGCCAGACATTTATTTTAGTCTATTATCAACTCCTGCCACATCATCACCATCAATCGCTGTCAGACAGCGAGTGTCCCTTGAGGGCAGGGATGATATCTTTGTATCTCCAGTTCCAAACATTGTATCTGGATATTTTTAAGCAGGTGGCTTGACAAATGTTTGCTGAATGAATGAATGAATGAATGAATGAATGAATGGCCTTTATTCTTGTTCCCCTCGGTCCTTGTTCTCACAGCTCAAGTTCAGTTTGACCTGAAGGCTGGACACGGCAACAGCATCCCAGTCGCTCCTTCCACCCGTCAGAGCCAGAACCAAGCTCTTTGGGAGCTGCTCAGAACGCCTTATATTAAGGATCCAACGTGTATCACTTTGTCCTTATGTTGCAAACATTTTTGGATTGTTTCACTCCCCTCCTCATTGCTTCTAATTGCTTCCCAAATGAGAACTTTGTGTTTCAAAAGATTTCATTTAGTGGGCATTCTCTTTTCTGGATGTTTCGTCTATCTGTATTCGCTGGTGTAGCCCACTAAACAGGCCATTAAATGAGACTTTTCTGCTCTCTCACGGGAGCCTTTCACATGCGCTAGTCCCAAAGCAGCGCAGCATCCTCACTTCTCTGCGCAATGCCTGCCTTTACAATGGCTTGGTATTTACTTCCTTTCGGAAGCTTCCGCTGGAATCTAAACATTCCTAACCAACCAGCTGACCAACACTGATAGCCTAAGTTGTTTCTATATTGAGTATAGTTCGTTATGCTTTCTCTGCCTTTTAAAGTGTTTACTGTGGTAGAGTGTAAAACGTTCACAGTGCAGGCCACTCAGTTGAAAGGAAATTTGACTGGACAGGGTGCACGCGCACCTGGGCATCGAACAAGTGGACTGGCCCCTTACTGCTTACTAGTGGCCTGATAATTACCTGAGACCTCTGTTTTCTCATCTGCAAAATGGGGGCGGTAATGACCTTCTGGAGTTGCAGACGGGATTAAACGTCCAGCAGTTGGTCCAGTGCCAGGAAATGGTAAACTGAATATAGAGCACTGCTACAGTTACTACCAGATTAAGAGTGTAAGCCTCGGTTTGAGATCACTTGCTTTACAAAAAACTAGTCGTCTTTTTAATGAGGGAGCACAGAAGAAAGTGACGAATTTCCCCTGTAAACTAAAATCAACTATCATGCTTAGTCTTGGAAAATGAGATCCTTATCTCTCCTCACTTTTAAACATACATTTTCTTCTCTTTGAATAAGTTAGGTAATCTCAAAACTATTCCACTTTGAAATGCTAATTTTTTTAAAGTGTAAATTGCCTTTTAGGAACCCTGAGTTAAGTACCTGGCTGTATCTGTGATATCTATCCATTATAGGAGCTGTCTTATCTTCTCATGAATAAAAGTCAGAAAGATGTGGTCTAACTTGAGTCAGCCAGTGCATGCAAAAGGAACTCCATCACTATATGGGCATGTTCTTTCTGGTGAGAGGAAAACTGGCTGAATTCAGGAAGGGAAAGGATGATCCAGTCCATTTAACTGTTGATGGAAAACATCCCTACATTACGTCGTCAGGGACCTGATGGTGGAAAGCGGGTACAGTTGGCCCTGGAACATGGCAGTTAGGGGTGCCAACCCCCCTAGGCAGAAACCCACATCTAACTTTTGGCTCCTCAAAAACTTTACTAATAGCCGACTGTTGACTGGAAGCTTTCCTGATAACATAGTCGATTAACATGTATTTTATTACATGCATTATATACTGTGTTCTTACAATAAAGCTAGAGAAAATAATACATTTACAGTATTTATTGGAAAAAAATGTGTGTAGGTAGACCCACAGAGTTAAACCCGTGTTATTCAAGGGTCGACTATCCTTTTTTGGAAACATTACTAAAATGATGGGATCTCGCGGGCCTACAGGATGAGAACATGGTAGCGAACGAATCGGTCGGCCCTCTGGGAAGGATAATGCAGGGTGTGGGGCTAGGCCACAGATGTCTGGTTTAACAGTTCGCAGCCGAGGATGGCAGGTAGTCTCAGAAAATTATAAAATGCTTCTGCTGAGCCAGTTACCGGTAAGATTCCACCTACGTATGTGCTACTTAAGTATCTTCCTACATACTTGAGCCTAAGTGACCTGTCAGCAGAGGGTGTCTGTGACAGTTACAAGAGAATGGCCCTCCTTGCTTCGGGTTGTGTGTGGGTGTTGAACACGGTACTTCAACATAAATTTATGAGGTGCTAACTTTTAATGCAAAGATGACTCACAAGGTTTCAGAATGTGTAAATATGAAGCACAAGCTCACTTATACCGTCACTGGTGCTCACCCACAGCAACACTAGCCTGGGTTGATTACCAAGTTGTTTGGGCTACCAGGAAACTCACAAAATTTGTTAAGAAAAATCTCTGGGTTGATTTTAACACTTGTGCGGCAGGACCATCCTGAAGCAGTGTTATATGTCCCTCATCTGCATTTCGCGACACTGTCTGAAGGCCGCATTCAATGAACTGTATTTCTCCGAGATTGTGAAGTCAATTCTTTTGAGATGTAACATTGAAAAACTTATAGACAGCAATTGTATAATAAAAAAAGTAAACAGAGGAACTTTCTCACCCAAGTGTCTTGAATCAGGCAATAAAACAAAAAAGGATCATAATTAAACATTTCATACGGGTGTTGAAATAAAACTAAGATTACTTTATGTGATTCATTTCCAATGCTCCTTCAGAGTTTTATTCGATTGCTAAAAAACGCCATAAAATTTCCTTAAATTGAAGATGAACTGGTAAAGACTAGACCTTTAGCATTATTGAAGTGATTATCTTAAAAGGAAATTATTTCACTGTCAGAAGAATAACCTGGGAAATTGTGACCCAATAGACACCACCAGGACACCCAGAATTCAACAGGATATTGTTTTAATAATTAAAAATTTTGTGACCCTTAAAACACAGGAATATGAAGAAGTAAGACAATAAAGGAGCTTAATTAACCAATTTTATAATCGAAACAAATCATTATTCATAGTTCCCACAGAAGTGGTTGATAAAATCTGCTAAATGTATAGGTTTATAAGTTCAACTTAAATTATAAATTTGACTTATTTTTTTCTGAACAAAAAAATAAAAACACCTTTGAGGTGGTGGCGATGTTTATTTATTTAATTTTCATAGGTCAGTAGAAACAGATGCCAGGAAAGAAGCTGTAAAGCTGTAACTGTTGCATACTCAAAAAAAAAAAAAGTAAAAAAACATTAGCCCTACCATTTAGCTTTTGATCATGTCTATGTAAAATAAGAATCATCCGACGGGGTCCTACAGTTAAACAGCAAAGTTTTTGAGATTAAACATATTTACAATGAAAGTAAATTTCTGGAAATTGGATCCTTCTTTTATTAACTTTGTAGGCCCACTTGAGAATTTCATTTATGAGAACACCCAGAGATAATAATGAATACACAAACTTGGATTCCCTGAAACACCACCCATGCACACAGCTGGACCATTAGGTGGTTTTTAGTTAAACAGCAGCTGCCATATTTGGTCATATGCTTCAAACTGTTACAAACACAGAGCATTTGCTCAGTTCTAACTTCAGCTATTTACTAACTGAATTCATTTCCCATAAGAGACAGACCTCCTAGTTTCATAAGGTTAATACCTTGGTTCATTTTCTTTTGAAGACTCAGTAAGCAAATGGGTATTGTGTGCCAATAACACTTGAGTAGCCAACTAGCAAACGATGTGTTAGGAAATTCCATGCATGCTTATTTAGGTTTTAAGTCTTAAATACCATCAACTATAATTGTAAAGGTACACTAGGTGCTAGTAGCCTCATAATCACCAAATTCTAAAGCTTTTACCCAAGTGGTTTTACTAATTAAGGACAGGAAAAAGCCCATTTTTTCTCCTGTCTTTTGGCAGGTTCAGTGGGACTGTCAAAAGAATTATCATCCTGGTAAGATCATCTAACTGGCATTTGGCTTTGAAATAAAATGGTAATGATTTTCTTTTTTTAAGTGGCCTCAGAGTGAAATGCACGACCACTATGGCTTTGTGTCATATCCTACAGCTTTCTGGTAACTGCTGCAGTCCTGGCTGATCTCTTGTGAGTCTCACTCACTACATGTGCTTTCTTTCACCTGTCAAGTGCCTAGAAACATCGGATGCACATACATGTCAGCTCCTTATTCATCCCGTCTGTAACACACAAAAACTTGTATTTTTATATGAGTGGCATTAGTTAAAATTCAACCAGGTACTGCGTTCCCAAAGGACAAGGATCACGTCTTATATTTCTTCTGTGGCCTCCACCCTCATCACAGCACCTAGCACAGTGCTTGATACATAGAAGCTCTTTCTTAATCTACTAAACTCATGAGTTAAAATTTCCTTGCAAAGCTTTTGCCAGTTTTCTACCACAGGTTAGTTCAATTTCATATAATTCACCTGTAATACTGGAGCCAAGCCACAGTAGCACTTTAAATATTAATATATTATAAATGTTATATCCTAATGTTCCTTTATTAAATACTTAGTTGGTTAAATATAGTATAGTTTTTTAAATGTCTTTGTAAACTTGTGAGAACCAAATTCTTTCTTATAGACCAGAGTCAACTGAGTACCTGTTGGTCAAATAACTTTCTAGAAATGAAGTTTGCTGACAATATTTAGTCTTGACTTAAGATACAAGCCCCTGGGCCCTAATTCCCAAGTCCAGACCAAGTACTCAGAGAGGGAGGCAGAGTAGCTAACATCACCTACCATGGAAAGTGCTATGCAGAAAGTTCTATAAACATAAATGTGTGAGGCACAAAATCTTTATTGCCACAGGAAGCAAGTGCACTCGTCCCACCTCACCAACAGCTTTAAGAGTCACAGAAACGCAGACTTCACATAATAAAATACAACACAGACTGAGGGAGAAATGGTCCCTTGGACTATTGGCTGTAATACTGAGGTAACCAATTGACCTTGTTCAGTGAAAATACCTCTAACACAATGAAAAAAAAAACAAACTGTTGTAACATCCAATTCATATATACAATTCAAATAAAAATATATATTATTTGCTTCAATGTATAGCAAATTTAATACATTAGTGTTTACAAAATAAAAACTGTATTCTACTGAAATTTTTCTTGTGCTTCCCTCTTATCACTAAGCTTGAAAGACCAGAAAAGTCTGATACTTAAGGAAATTATTTGTGGATTTAAAGATGCAGTTTTTTTGGCCATGAAAGATGGATAAATATTAGTTGGAAGGTTACAGCATCTTTAAAAATTGTTGCTTATTAAAATCTACAAACTTGAACTGTAAGACACAATTTAAAAAAAAACCCACAGAATTTCTCAAAATAGATTAGAATACAGGAAACGTTTCATGAAACTACTGAGATACTAACCAGTTCTATGGCTAATATTAAAAACTGAATAATCTATTTAAATCGTACTCATACTATTTCTACACACAGTGAACAATACAACCACAATAATCAACCTCAAGCTAGCAACGGAGTTGCAAGGTCCATAAAAAGCTTCTTCAGTGGGCAGAACACTATGGTATAATTAAAACATTTAGGAAGGGAAAAAGCCTTTTAATAGTATAGAAGTTGCTTACTGGTGTTTCTACTGTAAAGCTAGTGGACAATCAAAATGAAAAAGCAACTATACATGTGACAGTGACCAGAACTACAGTGCAGACATTTCATCTAACATTTGGCTGATGAATTCTAGTATAACAGAGTATGACTTAATATTTTTTACACGGTTATGACCTAGAGCAGAACTGAAAACAAAAATCCGCATATTCCAAGTCAATATGCTCTTCTCAGCAATATCTGGGTTTAGATGAATCTGGAGGAAGTCGGTAAAGCTGTCAATATCTTCTCCTCTCAAGCCAACAGAAAAATCAAATTGGCAATAGTAGTATTTGTTTTCTTACTATGGATTCCAATGTGAAATTCTTATTAAGTATGCAAGTACATTATTAACATTTAAGCACACCCCCATACATATGCACACAGCCCATTAATTAAATAGGGGGAATTAAAACATACTTTCAAGTGAAAATGAGTTTTAAGAAAAAAACTGCATTCACAAACCTGAAAGGTGTACAAAAATGAAATAATAAAATAAATAATGAATATGTGTCAACTAAACCGCCATAGAAATATGCCTGCAAATGTGGATGTAGTGATTGTCCACACTTGTGAAGGTTTGGGTGGGACACACCCTAGGAAGAGCTATCTAGTTTCTCTGACTCCAGTACGTACAGAAGTTCTGGATATAAAACGGTATTTACTTTATTATATATTACAGCCTTTGTTACCAGTCACCATCCTTATCACATTTAGGGTTAACTTACTATGCCTTAATCTATTTAACACATTCAGAAATAGCATGTTTAAATCATGGCTTTTACACATCGGTCCACTTGTTTCAAGTTCTCTGTCCAAGTAATAGTTCCCTATTTTTGTTATATATTAAGTAGCTATCATATAATGCAATCTGGGTCAACTAGGTTAAGAAAGATTTCCTACTGTATTTTCTCATCTTTTTAACTTTACTCCAGTATTTATTGTGTATATATGCCTGATTAAGCTAGCAAAATGACATTTTCCTACTATAAGTGACACATTTCCTATTAAACAAAATCAGTTTCATCAAATATTAAATCCACAATATTTTTCTTGGTTTAAACTGAGTGTTTGCTAAATTCCATTTCTCCAAAGTCACTGCAACCCTGCCAATAACTACATTACTTAAACTTTCTTTTTTTCTGACTGCAAAGATTCTAATTTCTGACATATAATAATATTTATGCTAAATACACTTAAAGTAGACAATGAAATTTCAAGTAAAAAAACTGTATCCATATCTACTGGACCAAACAGGTCTCAACATCTAGATTTTACTTCTATAAATTACACAAATACATTGTACATTCTTAAATAAATGCTTACAATATTAATTTGTAAGCCTTCCCACATGAAACAGCTTACACAGGAATGTGAGTGGATCTATATTTCTGTTACAACATTCTTTCAATTTCTTTTGTGGCTGTTGTTTTGTCCTCCTGGTTTCCACAGACTACTGTATTAGTCCTTATGCTTTGGCTATGAAATCTGTTTGAGCTGAATGAGGCAACACTGGTTATTAAGGCTTATTTCTATGATGGAGCATTATCCTTAAAACTGATGCCATTTCCAGAGAACAGTGGGAAAAATCACAGCTATCTTGAATCTTCAGGCTCTGTTTTGATGACTTTCTTTTCTAAAGTAAAAGCTGAGTGAGGGTAGTCTTTCAAAATCCCAAGGCTCTCTGCATACAAATGGGAACATAAAGTTTATTGATACTTTAAATCAGTGGATCACAAAAAACAAACTCAAACAAACTCATAAAACAAACCCCACAGCAAACAAAATCAATTATCATAATTCTATAATTCCATATAAAATTTTTATGTTTATAGAGTTGTGGTTAAGAGACTGGATTCTGTATTTATATTCCATCTCTGCCAATTCCTAGCTGTATCCATCTCTGGGCAACTATACATCTCTCTAAGCCGTAGTGTCTTCATCTATAAACTGGGGACAGTATCTCTATAGGGTGGTGTGAGTTAAATCATCAAATGCACATAAAGCACTTAGCATACAGAACATTGATTTTCACTTAATTCTTGGTCCAATGTGATAAGTAAAATATATAAATAAAATTGCTCACTCTTATAAAACAAAATTACTAGCCAAAATATTTACTATCAATAACAAAAAGAAAAAGAAAAACATTTTCCACGTTTAAACATGGAACTATTTTTAAAAGTTTCTCTAGCTATGAAACATTAAGGTGGGAGAAACAGGAATAAAAGAATGAAAACTCTACTTTCATAAGGAATCATTCCTTGGAGATATGTGTGTATAGCTTTTTCAATCTCACACAAACACTACAGAATGAAAATAAAACGTAATATTTATGTGAAGTACTAATACTGGGGGATACATATACACACACACACACTTGGAAAGAATTCTGGAAAGGTAACCAATACTAACAGCTTATCTGAAATTAGGCAGTTCAATTTATGAATTTACCCTCCCTATACAGAAGTGGATTTTAAATTCAGCAAAGAAGAGTAATAAAAATAGTAGCTACCATTTATTGAATTCCCATTAAGCAGGCAATTCATATACACTATCTTGTCTAACCCTCATAACTACTCTTTGAAGGTGAAATTATTTCTATTTTACAGATGAAGCAACTGACTTCAAGTGACTCCTAATGTCACCTTTAACTCAAAGACTGAATGGTACCAGATTCTTCAAATGCTCTTGGTCTCTAACAACTTAACTTTGTCTAACTCACTTTACTTGGGTAAAATATGTAAACATCTAACTATAATAAGGAACAGCTTATCCTTTTATGGAGTTCAGTTTACTTCTGAACTATGAATATCATCTCCAAAATGTATCTGCAAGAAAAGTTTAGATTCTGATACACAAGGTTTTCTCAGCATGAGAGCAAACATGTAATCTATCAATTTCATACTACGAAAGGCTAGAAAGTTACATAACTCAAACCAGTCATCTATTATTTGGTATAAAATTTTATATAAAAGTCCTCATTCATGTAACAGCTAATTAAAATAATCTCAACCTTCCTGAGTTTTTCCCGTCAGCTCTCTGGAATGCCAACGTTCTCAAAAAGACTGCTATCGTTACGGCAATCCATTATTTCCCAGGGGAGAAAAACTGACTAGTAACACTGTTAGTAACGACTTTTTTTGAGGGACACTGGGAGGCAGAATAGAATTTAAAGATGCTTTGTCCAAAGTTTTCTCTCTCTAATCATATCCCACATTCTCACCTGATGAGTGGGACTTTGCCTCACCGGAGTAAAGTCTATTCAGCTCCCCATCCACCACAAAATGATGGGGTTGTCTGTTCTGTAAATTAGGCATTCGGAGATTCAAAGGTCTTTCTCCTAATGAAAAGAGGGGGGAAAAAGCAATGTGAATAATATTAAAAACACATCATGGTTTTTCTTAAAAATAATTTCCACAAATTGTCTCAACACTCCTTAGGAAAGGAGTAAGTCAACAGGCACAGAAGAATTTAAGTAATAGTTGGAGAAATATTTTATGAAATAATATGGGAGGAAAATGGTAATTCATACTAGTCCTAAGGTTTACAATTCCGTCAGGACATTTTTAAGAGCTAAACATGAACTAAACAAAAGACTGAGATTTCAAGTAAGCACTCCCACTTTGGCATGTAATATACATCCCCTCTGTACGGCATTTTCTTACTAGTGCAACCACTTTGCCAAGGCATGTCATTAACCACATAATAACAAATACTAGAGAGACAGAAGTGGCTTCAAGCCAATTGCCTATTATTAAAAACAGTAACAACAGCAAAACCTATCTCAAATCCATGAAAACAGATAAGGTAAAAATGCTTTATACACCAAAGCATATTCTGCCATAAACCTAAATCCATCACACTTAGCAAATTGCCACCCCACACTGAATTATCCTGGTGTCACAAATTAGTCATCAAAATCTTTCATTAATGCTTTTGCTTCTTAACTCTGAAGTCTTAACTGTCAAGGATGACTGAAGAAGTTAAACAAGACCTCAACAAAAGTTTCAGTAACATTGAAAAGAGGAAGAGTGCTCTCCTCCACTACTCTCATCTGCTTAGAGAGTGCTTCACATGGTATTCTTACTTAGAAAGAAATGTCATTAATTTTTTTACAATAGTAACCTCTCTCTAGAAAAGTATAACAATAATATATAAAAAAGAGGGTCCTACCAAATTACTGTTTTTGTTGAAACACTTATCACTAGCTGGAAGCAGAGGATATATTTCTACACTCAGACACTGCACATCTCCCTCCACTAGAGCACAAGCTCCGCCTGAGCAGGACTTGGTCTAGTTCCCTGCAGCACCTTCAGTGCCAAAATGCGTGCCTGGCACACAGGAGATACTAAAACAATTTCTGTTGAATGAGTGAATGACAGTGACTTGAAATTTTCTTCATGTGTGAATAAGAAGAAAAAAAAAAGGTAAAAATGGTAAAAATACTCCTAAGTCCTAGCTTTCTAAATCTAAGAGTTTAAGAGAACAATTTCCAAAGGACACACCACACAAAATATTTTCAAAGGGACTGGAGGACAATGTGAAGCCTGAGAGTAGATAAAACGTCTTCAAGCCTCTCCATTCTCATACTGATTCTTCAAGCCTCTGTGCTGTCATAATACTTTAGGAAGCAGTCACCACATTCTCTTAGGAACCAAATGTCATAAATTTCACAGTCAAATCTGTTTTTGAAGCCTAAAAAATAGGAAGTTTTCTTCTTTTAAAGACTGATAAAGATCTCCCATGGAATCTGTGTCTTTGAGAAAAATGATCAGTACAATCAGCCTTCTGTATCCATAGGTTCCGTATCCACAAACCAACTGCAGATCAAAAATATTTGGGAGAAAAAGGTTATGCTGTTGCTGACATGTAGTATGTAGTTAGGCCTACAATGGATGCATCTATACGGAACATGTGCAAACCTTTTATCTTGTCATCATTCCCTAAACAATGGAGCTTGACAACCATTTTATAGCATTTACATTATATTAAGTATTATAAGCAATCTAGAGATGATTTAAAGTATATGGAAGGATGTGCATAGGTTATATGCAAATACTACACTGTTTGATATTAGGGACTTGAGCATCCAGATTTTGGTACCTTCAACGGATCCTGAAACCAACCCCCCCCTGGATACCCAGGAACAACTGCACTATGTACATCTCCTATTCCCACCCACCCTTTACAAAATACATTATCAACTGTATGTGCCAGCTGTTATTTAGGTATGATAAGGTTAAAAAAAAAACAACTTTAAAAATTAAATTTGCAGGGTGAACTCCTTCCTTTTTAAAAAAGGAACAATTTGAAAATTAATTTTGATAGAGAACCTGTAAGATAATCTCTTAAAAATATCAAGATTTAAAAGTCAGCAAATTTTTGTTTCTCTTTGAAGTACACATAACAGTTGGCTCTAAAGGTGTAGATCTTTCTAAGAAATGTACCTTGTCCATCAGAGTTATCAGAAGTCAAGCCATTAGGGCTGTGCTCTTCTGAGCTTTGCCTGTAAAGTCCTGTGGACAGTCTTCTTTCAGCATGCTGTAGTCTCTCATAGCCAGCTTGGGTGCAAAGGAACTCCATCTGCTTTGTCATCACCTTTTCAGGCTGCGAGTAAGTAAAGCAAAAATAAAATCAGTAACTAAAACATTCTAGATTTTTTTTAATGGTTTAAAGATGCCAATTTCAGACTCTAGCAAATATATTTAGGATTCGTTAAAATTAGTTCACACTTCATGTGGTATACATGTTCCATAAATATGCATGGATATCTGTATCATGTTAAAACATAAAATGTTGGATTTTATGCAAAAGAAAAACATATTTTTGCTCAATCCCATGGAGAGAATTCCATTTCAGCTCAAAAGCAAAATAACCTTAGCTTTGTTTTCCAAAGTACTGAGTCCTTTGAAAGATTTTTTTGAAAAAGGAACCACAGTGCAACAGCAACATCTGCTATAAGCTGCTTCTAACACATAGAGTGAAATCTTGGCGTTTTTATTTTAGGATTTGGCTCTACAGACTCTGGTATGATGACAGTATCTGGGGGGAGAAAAAGTGTAAAATGGCTGTCTAGAAAAAGAAGACAAACACACCTCCCACTAAAATTAAACAATGCAAATTATGCAGAAAAAATCAGTGCCAACTAGAATCTTCACCTTCATCATGGAATGAAATGGCAGTATTTTCCAACCAATCATAAAAAGATGTGTTTTAAAATACACAATAAGTTGGCTAAACTATATATTTATCTCTGCGTGTGTTTTATAAGTTCCTTCTCTATGTACTGCTCTAAATTACTTATATGTGATATTCAAAGCAGTGTATTGGTGATATTTGCCAAAGAGTAGATAGTCAAGATGTAGATATGAATCATTACCATGCTATATAAAATAATTATAAGGAAGCTGCTATATAAAATAATTTACAAACAATCCTGATTCACAATAGTAAAAATAAGAAGGTGAAATATATTAATTCATAGAATAGGATAAAAGCTTATACTATTTTTCTGAATGCTCATAAACCAGATCAAAAGAAACCATGACTTCAATTCATTCTAACTTGTTACTCATTAACAGAGAAAATGTCAGTAAGACTTCTGAGTGGGAAATGTATTTTTCATCCTCTTAACGTGAAAAAACAAAACTTGGCACTAGTAAATTTGACCAAAAGCAGTCACTAGGGGGAAGATCAACAGGAATAAAACTTACAGTGCTTTCAAAAGGGTGATGTTTGCAGAAATGACTTTTTAAAATGTTAATTTCAGTGTACACAATGAAATAATAGCAAAAGTGCCTGAAAGTAACATATTAATATAACAATTTTTATTATACAGTAATTGAAATGATTTTACAAAACCTACAAAGTCAACTATTAATATTTTATTGAAAACTAGTACTATTTTATCTCAGAATTGTATTCTGCACACATAGTCAACATGATTGTTTTCCTGGTATCAAATGACTTCTTTTGAGTTTTCTTAGGTAGAGAATCTATCTTACAAAACTACAAAGAGTAAAATATCACTGTATCAGACTCTGCTCATAAACCAAAGCAAACCAAGTTGTTATTGCTATCTTGTTGATACAGCTGTGGATCAGACAACATTTTAAGAACCAGAAATAAATTCAGTCCTTGGATGTTTAAAAATGAGGCTAGTTGAAGCAGCCATTTATTTTCCAACCCACAGATACTATTATGAAATACTAACTGGTGGTTTACATTACCTGTGAATTAAGAGCAGCAAGTTCTTCACTCTTAGCTTTAGCCTGCTGGAAGAGGGTTTGCACAGAGTCCTGGAAATCCGGAAACCCATCCTGCAAATCAGTTAAGTAAAATAAACATAAGATCAAAAACTTAGAAAATAAAGCAAAGACAACCACCTTAAGTAAGATTTTAATGTACAATATTTCATTGCAGTCTTTTATGGTACAACTACCTTATTCTACGGTCATAACCTCAATAAAAACATAAATGAAAAAGGTAAAAAGATTTATACATCCAAATTGCTTTACAGTGGAAGGCAGAATTCATGATCAATGATAATGATGGTTATAATAACATTTCATCTAGTGATTTGCCTATTTAACCACTACCCTCATATTGAACGTTTAGATTTACTTCCTTATTTTTGGTTTGAAAAACACTGCAAAAATATTTCCATGGAAATAGCGTTTCACATAGTTTAGGTTATCCGATAAAAGAGGTTCCCAGAAGTAGAATTACTGCACAGAGATGAACATTTTTCTGTCTTTCACATAATTTCTACAAGGGACTTTAACTGGTTTGTCATACCATAAGCAATATATGACAGCTGTGGCCAGCACTGGGTGGTGGTGGTGTTTTCTTAATTTTTGCCAATTTATATTTTTGTTTTGCTATTCAAGAAAAAATTTTAAATTTTACATACTATAGTTCCATATAATTGTATTTTATTTTGTGACTTCTTCTATTGTATAAAATTTAGAAAAGCATTCTGCTTCAGAGATTTGATAAGTATTCAAATCTACCCTCTAGTTTTTCTAAGCCTTTCTTTTGTTGTTTTTTTAAAGTTAACTCTCCAACCCATCTGGAATTTATTCTGTTAAATGTAACGTGGGCCCTAGCCAGTTGGCTCAGCGGTTAGAGTGCTGGCCTGCAGACTGAAGGGTCCCGGGTTCAATGCCAGCCAAGGGCAGGTACCTCGGTTGCAGGCTCAATCCCCAGCCCAAGTCAGGGCGCGTTGTGGGAGGCAACCAACTGATGTCTCTCCCCCTCACATCAATGCTTCTCTCTCTCTCTCACTCTTTTTCACTCTCTGAAAAGCAATGGAAAAAAAATCGTCGAGTGAGGATCAACTAACTAACTAACTAACTGTAATGTAATGTGGTAAAGATCCAAAGTAAATTTTCTTTGAGGTGCTACCCAATAATCTCAACCTGAATTTCTGAAGAATTCTTCCACAATGACTTGTGCCATTTCATACGACAGGCAATGGAGCTTTGAAATTAGAAAGACCTGCATTCATGTTCCAATTCCACCACTTACTAGCTATGGGACCCAGAATGAATAACTTAACCTTCCTGAACATTAGTTTCCTCATGAAAAATAAAAATAGGAGAACCTATCTATGAAGGTTGTTGTAAGGACCAAATGAGATAAGTAAATGAGATAATGCCTTTAGCATGTAATAAATGCTAAGTATATCTATACATACTAAGTTCTTACATTAAACAGACTATTTGGGATGCTCTACTCCTGGACAGCACTTCAACTTAAAATTATTTCTGTTTTATACTTTATATATATTAGTGCCAATCCATCTATTACTTTTCTCAAGTGTTGGGTTTTTTTTTTACCGCTTGTTGTTCCACATGAAATTTATAACTTCAAATATCATGGTAGCATGGTTTTCGTAACTTTACTGAAAACTACCAAAGGATTCCTCACAGAAATTGTCATTAACTTCCAAAACATTTCTCCCCTTTTTTATAAGCTATATATTTATACTAAAGGGTGAAGCATTAAAAACCAAAGTTCTTACAATAACAACAGAAAAAGATGTAAAAACAACAAAATATTTTATCTTTTTTGAAATAAGATATTGGTTTAAAAATTTTTTCCCCATCAGAGTCTTTTCAAAAAATTATTTCCCCACTGCAGACCTCATGTTTTCAAATATTTCATCTACCAAAATTTATTTACTAAGTAACAATTAATTTGCTATTTTTTAAATTCAAAGCCATGAAAGAAATAGAGAAAAGAGCAAACAAATTTGACATCCTGAGATAGCCATATGTAGGTTTATGGTGGGTTAATACATAATTATCATTTTTAAAGTATTGAAAATAGCTACCTTTCTAGGCCACTACATGTGATCAAGAACACTTGGCTTAGAGGAATGTATAGAAAATACTCATTAACTGAGCTAGAATGAACTTTATACAAATGTACACAGCCTAATCTAAGTCATTCACTTTTTCTTAGTCATTCCATTTTTCTCCTAAGAACTTATTTAGGCCTAAAAATCGAACTTTCTGGTAAGCAAGTAGAAGACTTAGAAAGCAACAATAAAAGCAGCTATTAATTTTTCAGACACTTACCATGTACCAGTTCCTGACTATGTTCTGTACATTACATATAATCTCATTTAATCCCCACTACACACAACTGGGTTTCCCTCATTTTACAGCTACAGACATGGGCTTCAAAGCCTATGCTCAAACCATAAATTCCTAGAGTTACCACCCTTTATGAAACTCACAGCAGTAAATAGAAGCATTTCTCTTACAGCTCTGTTTTTCATAGGCTCAACTGGTTTAAACTCTACGATTTGCACTGAGTTTAAAATCCAATTCTACCTCTCATTTGCTGTGATACTGGACAGATTATTTCATCTTTCTGTGACTGCTTCCCCATCTATAAAATGGGGACAACAGTACTCAGCTAACTTTAGAATCATTTTAATAAAACAAAGAAATTCATGAAAAACACTTAGCACAATGCTTTGGCACTAGAAATTATCCAATAAATGTTTGCTACTCATATTTATTAAGTAACCCCCCCCACCAAAACACCACCAGATTTAATCAGAGTAAAATAGGTAGAATGCTGTAAGTTACTTACTATATCTCCATGATACTGGGGAAAAAGATAAATTTTAGGGGTATTTACAACATACAGACATCTTAGAAAATGAGTAGGAACTAGGCATTTAACACTAAAACCAGCAAGAGAATACTGACTATAATGGTGGGGAACTGTTTTAGTGAAAAGAACAATGGAAAACTGGAAACACCTGTTTGTTCATTTAACAAAAATATCTGCCAAAAGGTTTCTACACTCTGTATTAAAGGCTGGGGATGCAATGATTCCTGCCCTGCTGACAAATGCAATCTAGACAGGGAGAGAGACAAAGAGATGCAGAGCAGAGCAGAGGGCACTGTTTCAGGAAGGCTGGAGGGTGTGACACCTAGGCTGAGACTTGAAAGAAGAGAAAGTTCTCTAGGATAAGACAGAAGCTTATATTGAGGCCTGAAGGCAAAAGAACAGGATATACTAGAGAAGCTGAAAATAATTAATATAGGTAACGTAGGGAATACACTGAAAGAGCGAGTGGAGAGAGAAGCAGCTGATACGCAGGGCCAAAGTCTGTGAGGTCTTGTAAGCCATGTTAAAAATTTTGGATTTTATCTTAAGTGCAAAGTGAAGACATGGAAGGTCTCAAGGAACAGACTAATTAGGTCTGTATTTTACAAAGCCCAACCCGATCTGAATGAGACGGGGACAGTGGATTGGGGTGGTTCAAGGACGGCGGTAGGGAACTGGTCACAGGACTGCAGTCGGAGACAGAAAATAGTGGCCTAGCCCCGGACAGTGACAGATGCAACAGAGAAATACATGAATTCCTGAGATAGGGCTTTGGCAACTGGGAGTTGGTGGTAACATTCACTAGGATAAGGAATTCAGGACCAGGAAGAGGCTTGAGGAGGGTGCATAAAGTTGATGAATTCAACTGGGGACTTGTTGAGTCTGATGGATCTGCTGGGGAGACGTTCGTGTAGGTAAGCTCAGGAAGCAAGTGCACTGAATTGTGAGGCTAGGGCAAGATGAGGGCTGGAGAACCAAACTAGTGAGTTCCAGCTCATCAGCAGGCCCTGAGTGGATGCACCCAGGCCAGAACCTCTGATATCTCAGTACTGTTATTTTTTTTTTTATATTTTAAAATATATCTTTATTGATTTCAGAGAGATGAAGGGAGAGGGATAGAGAGATAGAAACATCAATGATGAGAGAGTCATTGATCGGCTGCCTCCTGCACGCCCCCGACTGGGGGTCGAGCCCGCAAGCCGGGCATGTGCCCTGACCGGCAATCAAACCCCGATAGCCTGTATCCTAGATCGACGCTCAACCGCTGAGCCACGCCCGATGGGCTCAGTACTGCTTTTAAAGGAGCTTACAGAATGAAAAAGGAGTGATCTAGTGTTCTCCTGTTAGGAACTAGATGTGATCTCAGGTAAGAAAGTTAACCTCATGATTTCCAGTACTCCCAATTTTTAAATGGAGATTTAGCCATCTGCTTTATCTGCCCAATGGAGATTTGTGGGGACTAAATAAAGAGATGCAAATGGTAAATATTGGAAAAGTACACATTGCTGTACAAATAGATGGTGGCACCACTGTCAGGATTATTCAATCATGAGAATATGGAAAAGCTGGAAGGGGCAATTTCAAAATCTACATGTGAAAGTTTTTGGAAAATGGATGCTTCTCTGTCATTAGTAAAGAAAAATAAACGCACCAAATATGCAATAAATAACAGTATCCAAGTAATCAGTGGTTCCTGCAACTGAGCACATTAGTCATTCCGGTTTTCTCCCACAGTCTCTGACAGTTCATTGTGGATGGGAAAACTACAGGATTGAGGAGCTATCACTTCATGACATATAAAGTAGGTTTTAGGAACCCAAAATATATGACTTAGAAATAAAAATGAGAACATTCCCAAGAAACTGGTCTCTTTCACATTATGTTTAGTGCAGGACTTCTGTTATGTCTCTCAAGCTATTTTCCCAGGAAACCAGCTGTACCATGCTATGAGCAATTTATCTTTATGTCATATTCTTGGCTGCTGCCATTAATCACAGTGTTCCCTTAACTGGCGAGACTCTGAGTCTGAGCACTGAGAAAATAAAAGATACAGGGTGGGATGCTGTTTGTGACCTAATTACTCTCATCCCATTGGTCTCCACCCCTATTCCTCCTCAACCTTCCCACTGAATACTAGTAAGCTGCTTTAAAGTTACTGCTTAGCTGTCTTTAAAACGACTCGTTCCAG